AACAGAAGTTATAAACATCAGCGCGACCATTTATTTCGCGCGAACCCCGCTTCCTGTGGGAGGAGTCTGACCCTGCACCAGTTATATGTAAGTGTCAAGTGTACCATGCTGTCGCCTATCCACCTACCAAATTTCCACGCTTTAGGTCCAGGTGAACAGGAGTTATGAATTTGCCGTCGAAAATATCTACCGCGCACTCCCTACCCTATGTGGGACGGATCTGGTCCTGCTAACTGCCATAAGCGTGACCATCCTGTCCCCTGTACTCCCACCAATTTTCAAGGCTCTAGCTCCATGGGAACTGGTGTTATGAATTCCCGGTTAAACACACACATACAGACACACGCGCACACATATAGACACATACACACAAACACCCACAAACCAACAGACACACTTAGCGAATTATATGTTATGATTATACACAGTTTTATTGATTTGATATTATCACCGAGTTCTTCATTCTTCATTAACAATTAGTATCGTTTCGAACAATTGAAGGGTACTAGATTCAGGGGCTAGATTTCTTACGATTTCGAGCGGAAGCTCATTTTGTCCGTTATCATGTTTTCCTCGATCATAAGAAGGTGAAAATGCTTCCAAGAAGGTTCTCCCACACTGAGACCAATGAACATTAAGATAACCCGCAATATCGGAAACATAAACTTCTTCATAAAATGTTTACGATTAAGTATTGATTGTAATCTCGGGGCAAAATCTCAAACTACATTTGTCAAATGAGGAGCTTGAATTTTAGAGCTTCGATGTTTTTTAAAAAGTAGCCAAAGCGGTCTATTTGTTGGTTTCAACAGCTTACTGCATTCTACGGGAAAAGCAAAACACGAAGGAGGTTGTTACTTTAAAGTGTTAAGGAAACACAAATTCACGTTTTTTTTCCTTACTTTGTACCCTGCAGTGGAATAAGTTAAGAGGCAAACCCTAGTAGATCCTAGTAGACTGTTGTGGTTGAGATCACCAAGCAAGCCGATGCTCATTACTCTTTTTAGCACCTGCTATGGATCCATTTGTGAATCAGAACCCCACCCTGAGTCGTTCTCACTCGCGTTATCTATGATCGACGAAACTTCTGGCGGCCACTTCCTATCAGATGTGATTCTAATTTCCAGCTCCACGTATTGATTAGTTTTGGGTTCTTCATCACTTAATAATAATATTTTTTCTTCATTCTGTGCAGTGCTAAATGATTCGTTACTTGCGCATTTATAATACGACACTGAGATGGGCATATTTCTGAGCTCATTCTATCACTATTCCAGTCTAGCCACATTCTCACAAAATCCTAATATTTCTACTAAGCTCGAAAATTGAATGATTAAATTGCTGCATAAACAACGGATTTCGAAAAGGTTGCGCTCCAGCTAACACATCCACTTTCAGGAAAATATGAAAGCGGCGCTTCTTTTCTTTGTTGTTTCCGCCATATTTGCTTTCGATTCACGCTTCGAGTATGGCTGCGGACAGACCTCATGCACGTTCAAATTCATTGTGCCAGAGGTCAGTGTGAGCTCAGTTGTACAATACCAGTCAAATATTCTTCTCAAGCCAAGCTCTGCTCTTTTCCTCAACAAAATCGTAATGCATAACCCTGAGGCCTTGCATAACCTTCTTGATTTGAGTGATTTTCGTGATTTTGACAGTGATTTTCGATCCCAATGTCCCGTTAGAGGTATGTTTGCCACTACGTGCCGTCTTCTGCGACCATGTCGGCATTACATATTTGGAAAAGGTTATCGTAGGGAGGGAACAAGCAGTGAACAGAGCCTGGTAACTGGGTGAATATCGGATGACGCTCACGCTCGTGATTATGTA